GGAAGCGAATGGATGGATGGATGGATGTTAATGATTCACTCATTATTTGCGTGGATGTTCTTCAGGATCTTACAGCTATCGGAGTGACCAAACCAGGCCACAGGAAGAAGATATCGATGGAGATTAGCAAGCTGAGCATTCCCGAGTGGCTCCCAGATTACATTCCTGTGAGAAACCAGTCCCTCCCTCTTATTTGCCATATACATCATGTACACAGCTGGCTGTCTTGCAGTCATTGTAAAAGTTTGTCTGTGTTGTCGTGTTCAGTCGGACCTGGGGGAATGGCTGAGTGTGATTGGATTGCCTCAGTACCAGAAAAGATTGTGTGACAATGGCTATGACTCCATTGCCATTGTCAAGGACATCACCTGGGAGGACCTGCAGGAGATAGGCATTACTAAACTGGGTGAGGAATTTCTATAATTTTCTATAATAGCTTCTCTGATCGGTGACTGGTCCGAGGTGTACTCTGCCTCAGAGGCTTTGAAACTGAATGTTTTGTTTGCTTTGACTGCTTGTGACATTGTCAAAGCACAGAAGGGGCAGTATTTGGAAATGTTTGATCACTTTTATTAAATCTTTTTGAGCTCTGTAATAAATAAATAAATATGTGTGTTTCAGGTCATCAGAAGAAACTAATGTTAGCAGTGAAGAGACTGTGTGACCTGCATCGCTCTCGTAACCATGCCGACAGAGGCGAAACTCTCAGACGAAAGCTGCCTGCTGCTCTCGAGCTGGTGGTTATCGAACACACGCCGACACACAATGCTCAGGCACGCGCCGACACTCCATCCAATGACTGTTGCTCCTCCCCTCGTACTCCCAGAGCCCTCCTTTCCTTCCAGGACAGCGAGCTGAGCGTGGAGCTACAGAGTGCAATGATGGGAAAGGCGGGTGGAGGTCCCGCTGAGATGTTCAGCATTAAAGGCGTGTCCTCTGCAGGTGGAACTGCCATGTCGGTCAGTCAAGAGAGCATTGGCATGCGTTCGCGGGGTTCAGGGAAATCTGGGAACTCTGGAAATGTAAATTTGGCTCATTGTCAGGATCAGCAGGCCGTACTGTCTTCAGCCAGGACATCGAGCCGGTCTGAGGAGAGTTTAAGTAGCGGTGCAGGGGAGGAGGTGAAGAGTGGAAGAAGCAGTCCTGGAGGCAGAAGTAGACAGAGACCCAGTGAGTCATGGGTGCATCAGAGTCAATCTGCTATCCCAAATAAAATCCCCTTCTCCCCTCTCACACCTCCACTGACCCCCAGCAAGATGCCCCGCTTTGCCTACCCAGCTGTGCCACCTAAAGCCAAACACTTCCACTCTCCTAACCGCCCTTATCAGCCTCACCAACACCCACTCTCCTCCCCATCTTCACCATCCCCGCTAGCTTCCCCGACACAGAAGGCTTTCAGTTATATCCAAGCTCAAGCAGAAGTAGTCAGTGGGGCTCCACGACTACTTTCCAAGCCACTGCCTGGGGCTGTCCCGCTGCTGGGGCCCTTACTTGTACGGGGCCCAGCCAATGTAACTCAAAAAGGCCCACAAAAGAAGCGCTCGCAAAGCCTGAATCGCTATGCTCTGTCCGATGGTGAGCCAGATGAAGACGACAGTCCCACTTCCCCTTGCACCTCTGCTTCCTCTGCGGTCGTGCCATCTTATGCCACCATGTCACGCAGGCCGGGACGTGGCCATGCAAGTCCTCTAGGGGCCCAATGTCACATCAACCGTAGCCACTCCTTTGCCGTGCGCTCTCGACGCAAAGGTCCGCCTCCACCCCCACCTAAGAGGATGAGCTCGGTAAACGACACCCGTGCGTGTCAACCAGGAAACCACCAAGGAGTGGAGCCAGAGGTGAAGGAAGGGGTGGAGACGGAGAGTGCAGGCAGTGTGAGGAGTATCGCAGCCAGGCTTGAAGGCAGCAGCAGCAGTAGCCCATCTAGAAGAATAGATATACCACCAGTCCACCTCCCTGTTTCACCTGCATTCAGCCCTGTTTCCTCACCGATCCCACGTGGATTTCCTTCTCACACCATCACTCAGCACTCCAAACCTGTCCCAGCCTTGGGTCTCGGGGGCCTTAGGAGGGTAGGAAATGAAAGGACAGAAGGAGACTTCAATAGACAAAGAGGTAGAAGTACAGAGAGAGACTCTGGTGAGGACGTGAAAGCAAAGAAAATTGAACACATATCAAAGAGTGCTGCTGCATCTCCCAAGCACAGGTCCAAGGACCATCTACCGTTTGCTGAAGAAGGCAACCTGACTATCAAACAGCGACCCAGGATAGCAGTCGTTAGTCAGCCAGGTGCTGAAGTTAAAACTCCTTCAGAGGCGGTGCAGACCCCAAACAGCCTTGAACTCCCAGAGTTCAATCTAAAGGAGTCTGACACGGTGAAAAGACGGCACAAACCCAAAGACAAAGACGCGTCCACTCCTGAAGAGGTTAGCTCCCCACACAGAAACAACAAGCACCCAGAACCCAACAGCCTCCACACGCACAATGACATCAGTACACTGAGTGACGATGAAGCTCAGAGGCCACACAATGTTTTCCAGAGGATAGGATCAATGGGAAAAGGCCCAAAGCCTCCAGTGTCCTCAAAACCTTCCAGTCCCCTCAAACAAACCCCCAACAGCAAACCAACAACTCCTCAAAAAATGGTTTCGCCATTGCAACCAAGCGGACAAACAGCCATCCCTAACCTCACGAGCGTACAGATTCACACAGTCTCCCCAAAGCTGAAAAGCAACATGTACATTCAGACTTGTATGTCCAGTCCAAAGCCTGTGAACCACAGACAGACCTTCACGTCCGAACCTGAGAGTCCGCAGAAAGCCGTCGCTGTGCTGAGACTCCCTCAGAACAGCTATGCAGCAACAGCAGGTAACAATGAAAAGAAGATATAATACCAACAAGGCCATCAGTGACCCATCTAGGGTCAAGCTTGGCTTTTGTTTTAGCCACATGTTGAGTAAGCACATTTTCAAATCCACTCTTTCAGATTAATTTTGGCACGACGGTTTTATTGTTAAAGCTTTTAAAGTTGCTATAAAAATGGCTGGTTACATAATCCAGTCCCAGTGATCTGGTGGATGTTAAGAGGTTAAACTTGTTTGCTAACAGCGAGCTTCTTTTTGACGGTTACATAATATTTATTGTTCCTCAGGTCCGAATCTCAGCATGGCTCAAAGTGTTGCCTTTGCTGCTCCACCGTCACCATTGCTGAACTCTTGCTGCCCACCCTCGGCACTACCCGGTCAGCCAGGAAAAGGATGGGTAACCCCGCCTGGTGTGGCCAGTGTGGAGATGCTGGCCCAGAAGAAACTAGAGCAAACTAGTACATCACTGGAAGCTGCTCTCAAAGTAGTGGAGACCAAACTGGCACAGGGGAGCAATGTGGACGGGTAAGAAGTATTGTATTGGTGTAGTTGGGGTGGTGTGCTTTACCTGGAATGATAATATTGTGCTCTTCATACTGATTGCTGAGCTGTGGTACCGCGGTAACCGTTGGTTTGCACTGGTTGTTTGAACTGTTCCTTGTGAACATGCAGCAGATCTGACAGATCAGCTGCTGGGCTGTAACTAAAGTCCCAGTAAGGTGACTCTTAATACAAAAGTGCAAATGTTCAAGAGGTCAAAGGAGCTTGCAAAGAAAAGCGTCTGGACTTCTTTAAGTTACTTGAAGACGTTTCACCTTCATCCGAGAAGCTTCTTCAGTTCTAAGGACAAATGGTGGGGAGTCCCAGATATAAACTTAGTGGGAAATGTTCAAGAGCTTTCATTCCTGCAGTGATTTGGGACAGTGGGATGAAAGTACTGGGAAAAAGCAGCAGATTAGTCAAGTGCTGTCAAGAGCACAACGAGCTAAATTTTGTTGTAAATGCTGTTAACTAGTGAGGACACAGTCTACAAGCTTTAGAGCTTGTAGACTGTGTCCTCACTAGTTTGCTGTTGTCAGTCTATATAACCTGTGGAAAACTTGAAATCATGAATCTCCAAAGAAAAAAACAAAACAAAATTTCTTTTTCAGTTTTTCTTTTGTCTTCTTTGTTTTAGCACCTGCCCTCTTTTTGGGGGCATGTAAGCGTTTTTAAAATTGAGAGAAGGCCAAATGTTATCACTGATAGAAACATGTAGTCTCAGTGTAGTTAGCACTGCACTGCTCATGCTAACTCTAAATTTAGCAACAGGGAAAATGCCAAAAACATCTGCAGAATTTAGTGAAGGTCCTCAGTGAGCTAATTGAGTTTTGTCTTTGTAGAGCATTAACTTTGTCCTTTGTTTAGTTCTCTAGTTATTTGTTGCTCCACACTGATGAAAAGAGAGGCTACTACAGTAAACCTGGTTCTCTTTCAAACCTCGCTTGGTATTCCACTTTGGAAAGCGCCCTTTGGCATTGACCCCCTTTATAACAGCCCTTGGACCCATACCAGACAAAGTAGTTCTTCCTGATGTCCATGCAAATGGGCGCTGCAATGAGCCAAACTCAGTTTGCAAGGTTATGATAGTGGCCAAGGTTGTCTGTCAAACCTCTCTTGGTAGCTCACTATGGTAGATGTAGACCCCTCTGAGATTGCATGGTCCAAACACTATAACTTCTTCACCCAGGAAGAGCACCACCTCACACAAATTTAAGAGCCCACTGAGTGTGCCGGTGAAGGTTAATGTTAAGGCAGTAAAACCTAACAAATGGATGTGGAAATTTCCAACTAGCAGCTGCACAGATGCTCCTGCCAAGAAACACCCTTAAAAAGGGCCCATGAGGTAGAATGTGCACGCAGGTGCGCAGGAGGTTGCTATCCCTGGCATTCATATGCCATCACAGTATCGTCTACCACCCACTGTGACAGCTGGTATAGGCTTCCCTATGTGCCAAGGAGCCTGGAACACATAGAGCTGGTTGCTTTTTACGATTCCCTTATTTCTGTCTACATAAATGCATAATTCTCAGACAGGACACAGCGAATTAAGCCGCCTCTCGTTCTCATCAGCAGATGGCGGGGTGAAAGCTTATAGCCTGAGAGCGAGGTAACAATAGGTAGACTCCCTAACCTTAGGCACAGAGGCTGGGTTAAGGCGCAGAACCACTTCACTATAGTTGGGTTTATCTCTGAAGTACACACTATTTGACATCATAAGGTCAGCATGTGGAAAGAAGTCTTACACCATGAGCGGTCTCAGTCAGCCTGAAAGGGAGACCAGACTCATTTCCATTTAGCCTTTAAAATGTCAGGCTGAGAAAATTAACTCAAATGCTGATGACAAATCTGTCTGCAAGGCCTAGTCACTGCACAAGGCAGAAGCCATGATTGATTGTGGAGCAGACAAGCTAGCTCCGCCATCCATGGCCAAGCTGTTTCAGTGCCTCACCCAGCTCAGTACTGAGGGCATGTGGCTGAGGAAATGAATACAGCAGCATTCCCGTGAGAGGGTCTAGTTTTAGCCATAATCACTAATACTCAGCCTTGAGAGCTAGCTATAGCTTCACAAATACAAACACAAGCTTCCTTGACGTGCTAGCTTTGTTGCAGACCCATGTGTTATAATGGCCTGCATTTGTATAGTGCTTTACTCAGTCCCTAAGGATCCTAAAGCGCTTTATACTACATTCAGTCATTCACACACTGGTGACGGCAAGCTACATTGTAGCCACAGCTGCCCTGGGGCGCACTGACAGAGGCGAGGCTGCTGGACACTGGCGCCACCGGGCCCTCTGACCCGTAGAAGAATAATATTTTCCACCTATTTATTCATCCATTCTCTTCTACTTATCCTTATCAGGGTCATGGGAAGCGTATCCCAGCAACCATAGGGTGAAAGGTGTTATACACCCTGGAAGCAACGCCAGTCTGACGCTAAATCTTGTGATGAAAATATTAGTGTCAAAAAAATTCCTGAAACAAGAAAAGCTAATGTTTGAGGATCAGCAAACAGTTTAATGGATAATCCTGTTCCAGGACCACCGAGGAGCTTTAGTGATCTTCACAGGAAAGAAAGCAAACATGCCTGATGTGAGAACAGGGGCTAAGATAAAAGGGGGGACCCCATGTCCTTTAGGGCTGCCACAAACAATTATTTTGATAGTCGACTAGTCACCGATTATTTTTGCGATTAGTCGACTAATCAGATCATCATCCATTGTAGTAAAACGACAGCTTATTGCACCAGCAGCATCTGCTCTTATATAACTATCATTAGCTTACAGCTCGAAGTGTTTAAGGTATGTGCTAACTAAAAATAAAGACAAGACGATAGTTTATTAAATTTTAATGAAATGTGCAGATTGTTTCGGTGAAGTTTAATAAACTCAGCCGATTTACTCAGGAACAAATAAAATACTGAAAAAAGACAAACAATAATATTTTTAAGTTATCTAAGTGACTTATATATCATGTTTAACCTGAGTATCGAAAGAC